AAATGACGGATGGAGCATCATGGAGCATTCTAACTGTCTGTAGAACTAATTTAAGAAGGAATGTGGCGGTGTGCGGCATGCCGCACACCCCAGTTGATACCGTCTCGCTCTCTGATGTTTTCACATCTTTTGGTCTCCAACCTCTGCTGTCGAAACATCACGCTCTGCATGCTGCTCATCTTATGCCAAACTGCGCAAAACATTACCTTTTCACAAGTAAATGCCTCCTGTCTGTTTCCCGTCCCATGTTTTCCTATTCTCTACTTCGCAACTGATTCCAAACTGCACAAAACATTATGTTTTCACAGGTAAGTGCAACCTGTGTGCTTCCCGCCCCATTTTCCTATTCCCTATAATTTGCAACTTATTCCAAACTGCTGAAAACATTGTGTTTTCACAGGTAAATGCAGCATGTGTCTCTCGTCCCATTTTTCCTATTCCCTATAACTAGCAGCTTATTCCAAAATGCGCAAAGCATTGGCAGCACGTCACAAATGACATAATCCATTGGCAGGGCCACGTCAAAAGAATTAGCCGTGGATTCGGGAATAGGAACAGATGGGGCAAGAGAGACATGCAGCATTTACCTGTGAAAACACAATGCTTTGCGCATTTTGGAATAAGCTGCTATTTATAGGGAATAGGAAAAAATGGGACGAGAGACACATGCAGCATTTACCTATGAAAACACAATGTTTTGAGCAGTTTGGAATAAGTTGCTAATTTTAGGGAATAGGAAAATGGGGCGGGAAGCACACAGGTTGCACTTTGTGCAGCTTGGAATCAGTTGCGAATTAGGGAATAGGAAAAAATCAGACGGGAAACAGACAGAAGGCATTTACTTGTGAAAAGGCAATGTTTTGTGCAGTTTGGCATAAGTAAGATGAGCAGCATGCAGAGCGTGATGTTTCCACAGCAGAGTTTGGACGCACGTAGGCCAAAATGGGTTCTGCAAACTCGCATATCTTTCCAGCGTAAGGTCTGCCATTTGCAACTTCAAATGGAGTCATGCCACCTCGACAAACATATCGGTTCATCAACCATCCAGTATGGTCCATTGACCATCTGCACAAAGGGTGAGTGATTGGGAAATCACATCCAAGGTGTTCTTCTAGTCCACACTGTAAGACAGTGCTCATGTGCCGCAAGCGATGCACTGCTGATTCCACCATCGCATTTGAAGAAGAATCCTTGATGTTGAATGTTGAGGTTCTCCAAGACTGCCTTCACTCCCAATCTGCTCAAAGATTGTTGACCAAGTTGCTGAACTTGAAGTGTTGTGGGTTCTTGATCAAAACGAAGGGACAAACTTGAGTAAGCCAACCATTGGACGAACCTCACTATCTCCTTCGCCATCATCTTTGGGTCTCCTTTGTTCAAGAGCGGTACTGCACTGACTGCTCCTGTCAACGAGTCAACAACTGCCAAAAAAAACTAATTTACTGATCTTCTCCTTCTCACCAACTTCTACCATCGGCTCCTTCACCTTCTTGCTGGTCTAGAACAAATCAAACGATATGCGTGGCAATGATCTCTTGGTGTGCTTCTCGGCATTCTCTTTGTGGGAATCCGGTCGCCCCTTTCCTTTGACGCAACTCGGGCACCAGTTTGCGTAAGGCAAATTGTTCAGGTTGTGCTTCTGATTTTTTTCTGGATCATCGGGGGGCTTGTCCGCCTTCTGCTCAACTGGATCTCTTTCGGAGTCTTGTGAAGCTTTCAGGCTCATCTTGTCCCCATGTGCGCTAACAACGATTCCACATCTTTGATTTGGAACCACCTTGTGAAAGTTCGAAATATGCGCATGCCTCTCTCAAAACTTTTGCTTAACTGCTTGGATAAACTTTTGCTCCACCAATGTCCAAGACATCATCTGGAATATGAAGTTCAAGGTGTGGGGGCAGTTCAAGTCTTTCAGCCCCGCCCACTTCTGCAATCGGCATCTCAGCTTGAACTCCTTGGTCTGCTTGTTCAGGTTGAACTTGTTGAACTGGTTGTGCTGCAGCAGGAGATGCCGATGAACTGGAAGCTTGATCGTGTCCTTCAGTTGCAAAACCAATCTGCTCCGGTGGAAGCACATCCAAAGTCAAAATTGTGAGTAGGCGATACTTGCAATCCACACGCACAGACAACTTGTCCATCATCCTCATATCTTCACAAAATTCCAGCATCTCCCAAGTTGAACCATCGTAGCCAACACTTGTTTGGAATGGCCAGTCTTCTAAAGAAAAGTCACTGCCCGGGTCCACAAATGCCAGAGAAGGCCTCAAACAAATAGGAAAACCACGTGCTGTGCCATCTTCTTCACAAATTTCTCCAGTTGATTGGAACACTTGCTGGGACGTGTCGAACATGTTGGACTCGACATATAGATCACTTGATGACCAAACTGTCGTTCTTGATCTCAATGGAAACCTTTGTACCTGACGTTCCATGAACCAACTTCGGGAAACCATTCTAAATACCAATGCACCATCCTTTCTTCAGCAAACGACTATAGGAAATCAGAGTTGGGACACGTGTTGAGAGATGTGTCCACGGTCCTTGATAGTGACGTGCTCTCCTTCTTCACCTTAAGAATTGAAGACAAATTTGCACCTCGCGACATCCCTGTGTAGAAATCTGTTGGTCTTGCGCATCCCATAGTTGAGACAAACTGTTGGTGTCCTCGCCAGTCTCCACAAACTCATAGGGTAACACCGTTGCATCCGAAACACTGTCCAGAATGATGTTCACCTCGTCTGTCCAACCCGTCCTGACAAAGAGTCTTCCGCCAAGAATCTGCTCCTTCTTCTTCTGCACCTCGCTCGTTGGTGTCCATCTCAAAGATCCAAGATGTCGAGGATTGTGCTTGTCGTAGAAGTCCACCTCATAGTCATCCAAAGGCCAAATTGAGGGTGAAGACGAAGTAGAGGAAGTAGACGAAGTCGATGAAGTAGAGTCTCCTCGAACTTGTCCATGACCATCGCAGTCCATGTCCTTCAGGGGATGAAATTCAGGTACACGTTCACTAGTGAAAACAACATCGTCCTCACCATCATCACCAATGAACAATTGTTCACATGTCACTGCACGAACATTCTGGTTCTCTGCAATCCCGTGTTCACCATCTTGCAGATCAAAAGTAAATGCCACTATTCGAACACTTTTGCCGCTCTGAGGACTTGTTGGGGAAGCTTCGGGTTGTGTGCTCTGAGTGGTGTGTGTATCACCTGTGTGTTGTTGTTCGCACCCCCCTTCTCATTCACCTGACGCACTTTTTCTTTGCCTGACCAACAATCTCGAGCGTGTCCTTGTTTGTGATACTTGTGATATACAACAGAACTTGTCTTTGCCAGAGTTCTTTGTCTTTCCTTTGCCCCTGTCAGCCTTTTCCTTTGGAATCGGAAGACTGGCTGTATCCCTTGGAGTTTCCATAGCCTTTTCCTCGTCATGCCATGCCCTTGTCTTTGCTCTTTCCTTTTACTTTGTCCTCACCCTTGTCTTTTCCTTCAGTCCGGCTCACATTCATCGGATCATCATCAACTTGTCCAAGCACCATGCTCTCATCTTGTACTTGCTGGTCATAGGTCAAGACCAGTTCACGCAGTTGAGAAAATGTAGTTTTGTCATTCGCCCGCAACTGCAACCACGGTTTCACATTTCCCGTCACACTTCGCAACAACACTGCTGCTTTGATGACATGAGCCAGTTTGTTCCCTAGCTTCTCACACTCAGCATATGTAGTCTCCAAACGTAGCACCTGTGACAACAACGATGCCTTTAAGTTGAAATCTGGCCAATTCATGATGATTGACAGCAGGCACATAGCACGGTTTTTGTTCAAAGGTTCACAGGACTGAATGAGCTGACGATATGCTTCATATCCATTGGACATCTTCATCTGCTTGACCACAAGGAGAGGTCGTTGTTTCACCAGAGAGGCTAACAAACCATAAAGAAAAACGCTGCGTTTCTGCTCAGAGTCTGTCTGCACTGATGCATCCACCTCAGTCCGTAGATTTTTTGGCAGGGCCTTAATCTCCATGACGTACTGGGGGGTCTAAGCTTGCTAAGTATTGCCCAGTCTCTCCATTGGGAGATCTCTTGCTCTCGGTTGCTAGCTGCTAGCTTCGAAGACCTGTGGCTTCGGTATCAACCTGTACCATGACTTCTCATGTGTCGCTCCGGTGCTTGAACTTGCTACTTGTCCTCGCTGCTGTTATTGTTGAACCTGGGTCGGTATCTGCACAGCCGCCATTGCAGCCTGACTAGCTGCCTCTGTTGCAGCTATCAACCTTTGCGCTACTTCAGCTCCATCCATAGCCATGCCACCAGCCGTAGGACTTCCAGTGGGGGAACCATGAGTCGACATAGTTCAGCTAGAAAATCCAAGCAGAATTGCCAAAGTACGGCAGGAACGTAAAGAGCACCACAATCACCAAGTTCAGGTCAAAGGCTATGTCCTTGTCCTCCAAGAAACTGCAACACTAGTTCCAAGTGTATGCCAAGAGCTGCACCACGCCTATGGCTTTGCCCCAACCAGGCTTCACAGCTCCGCTGCCATCACTGGGAAAGCGGACATTTCTTTTGAGCACACAATGCCTCACAGGATCTCACAGGTATGGTGATTTCTCACCTGTATGTCACCACATGTTGTGGTCTGTAGTCCTGGGCGCAATGTCAGTCATATACGCTTTTCATCTTCTATGTAGTCGCTTCAGGTCTACTCAGAATAACCCCGCCGCTGGGCATGTTTGAGGTTGCCGCCTCGTCTTCCTGTTGCTGGCCCTTGAATACCCACAGTGGACAAATTCCAATTTGATACACAGCACAAACATGTGCAGACTCTTTGAACTTTGAACTTTTACATGAATTGCAAATAAGCGATCGGCAAAACCTGAATTGAAAAATGCGATTTAGGGTCAAAGTTATCGTTTTTGGGACTTCACTAATGACACTGAGGCGATTCCATCCTGATTCACCCTCTTTTCGTGCTGAAACCCTTCCGCCCCAGTGCGCACCATGATGCCAGTGTTGAAATTGTCCACGAAATCTGCCACAACTCCTACGAGCCACAGTGTTTGGCAGCGCAACTGTTCGGATAGAAATAGAAAACTTCCACGGAAACATGTAAAAACAAATGCTATGGGGCTATAGGGGTGGGATCTGTTGATTGGTTGATTGATTCAAGCAGTTCAAGCTTATTTTGGTGCTTGTTTGACTGGTTGGTTCAAGAATTGGCTGGTTGGTTGAATTGATTGAACCATTGATTGCTTTGTTCTCTGACAGGTTGGCTGTTCTTTGTTGCCTGACTGTCTCAGTGGTGGCTTGAGCTGTTCGATTGATTCATTGGTTGGACACCCATCCTCTGATAGTGGGGGGTTGATTGCTTTCTTGATTTGTCCGTGTTGCTGGCAGTTCAGCACGCAGGCCGAGCCTTAAAAGCAATTTGCAGCCTGGATTGTGAAACACCAATGAAAAGGCCAAGCACTGGCAGCTCCAAGCAGCAATCCACGATCAAAACTCAGCAGCCCGATTTCAGGATGCCAACCCTTCACGCAGCTTGCACAGTGCGAGTTCCGACAGCCGACAAACAGACCGTCACACCACGGAGATCCGCGGAGGAAACTCTTTGATCACAAAACACTACAGCCCTGCGCGTGCAATGGCAGTCTTGCATGAAGCAAGCACGGCTGCGCCTGCAAAAACGGATTTGTCGAACAAACACTTTGGCTGAAAAACACGGCCTCATAGGGCAACTCGTCCCTCTCTCTCCTCCGAGTAATATTTGGTTCGAGCCTTTGAATACTTGGTTTTGGATTGCGTTGGACTACTCTATCATTTGGTGACTTGGCTGTTCATGTGTTCAGGTCATTTCCGGGGAATGGATATCGAAATCAGCAAAACTTCCGGTTACAGACTTTTTTCCAGGTTTGTTTGTTTTAGTAGTAGGGGGGAACCCCTTGCCTCCATAGCCGCCCAAGCCGCGAGTCCGCCCGTTTCTTTGCTGTGGATTGCTGGGGGTGGCTTCTGCTGCTTCCCTTCTCTATATTTGGGGCAGTTCAAACACAAAGTTGACACGCCACAGATTTGCATAGATTTCGTCACAGTTGTTTCCTGTCAGAGGATCAAAGATCTCAAAGGAGAGAAAGCACTTTCTTCCAGAGATGGTCATCCCACATTTGCCCAACTGGCCATACCAAGTCACACCCACAAAATCCCGCAAATATGACACAGAAAAATGCACAGATTCCAATTGATTCCAGTTGATTCCAGGCCTTCTTTGTTGATGGGCTCCAAGTACAAAGCCGAAGCTGCCACCAAAATCATGATGCAATAGGACATCCAGCAATCCAAAGCGTTTAACAGCGGCACCTGACATTGCTGGAAATCAAAGGCGCAAATTGCAAGGCCGAAATTCCAGTTCCCGCCTTATCGAAAGTGTTTTTGCGTATTTGACTGTACAGTCCAACAAATACTTACAAAATCTACGCAAGGGCAAGGGCATGGCCAACAGTCTGCTTGAATCCTTGACGACAGGGACGTTCAGTAGACAGGTATCACCTACGTCCTCACACTCAGACCATAGATACTGTAGAAAACGTTGTGATCACTTTGGCATCTCGAAGCAATTGTGCAGAATGATGCACATCCTTTGCCCTTGTTCAACCGAGCCTTCCATGGCCATGCCAAAGCCTGACATGCCAAAAAGCACAGCAGGATGAACGTCACCCACACGGTCTGCACTGCTGGGTAGTCAGTAGCAAGCACGATGGGCAGGGCAATCAGCGGTCCTCTGGTCAACAGAGGAACTCCAAACCACCAGCTGTCCAACCTGAAGCGGAAGACCAAGAAGCGGAAAGCGCGGACGCGGCCGTGTTGTTCTCGGGCACTCCAAGTTGGAACCATGTAAGCCGCATAGCTACAAAGACTCAGGAAACCAAAGACACCCACAATCAGCAAGCAAATGCCAATGGCAAGCATCTTACCATGTTCGTCTGTGCCACAGATCACATCAGGATACTTCAAGAGGCTCTGTTTCTGGTTGGGATGTGTGTAGCACGTCAATGGGATAAGCGCGGTAGCACTCATCGTGGAGAAACCCACCTCTCATGCAAACGCAAACAAAACTTGCTGTATTACTACATGATAGGGAAAAAACGGTGGTGGCACAGGAACCAACAAACTGATGGCACGCATTTTCGTGCAAAAACAGTTTTTCAGTCATCAGTCCACATACCCATATCGTTTATCCACTATTGCAGTCATGAATAAATGTATTTTAAATACATAAATAAATAAAAATAAATGAATAAATAAATCTATGTATAATTATGTATATATACACATGTGAAAAACATACAAAACATGCATATTTATATATATATATATATTGTTTTAGTTACATTCGTATCCATATTTAAAAAACACATGTATACATACATACATACATACATACATACATACATACATGCATGCATGCATACATACATACATACGTTACATCACATTACGTTACGTTACGTTACATTACATTACATTACTTGACATTACATTACATACATACATACATACATACATACCACATACATACATACACATTACATACATACATACATACATACATACATACATACATACATACATACATACATACATACATACATACATACATACATACATACATACATACATTACATACTAATACATACATACATTACATACTAATACATACATACATTACATACTAATACATACATACATTACATACTAATACATACATACATTACATACTAATACATACATACATTACATACTAATACATACATACATTACATACTAATACATACATACTAAAACATACTAATACATACTAATACATACTAATACATACTAATACATACTAATACATACATACATACATACATACATACATAACATTACATTACATTACATTACATTACATTACATACATACATACATACATTACATACTAATACATACATACATAACATTACATTACATTACATTACGTTACATTACATTACATTACATGACATTACATTACATTACATACTAATACATACATACATACATACATACATACGTTACATTACGTTACGTTACGTTACATTACATTACATTACTTGACATTACATTACATAC